ATTTCTATTGACTCTCAGTGAATACCGTTCAAATAAATAGTAGTACTTTGCCTGGTTCTGGCAAAGAAACAGCGCGTTCCCCTCAATCATGAGCACCCGAGCCCCTACAAAAGTCCTGATGACAAGCATTGGGGAAATAAAATTTTGAATAGTCGTCTGCTGGAAATCTAAGCTTAGAGTTCAAAAGTCAATATGCTGTTCAAAACCGAGCTGAACCTCTCTGTAGCCGGTAAACTCTTACCTTGTGTGAGACTTCATAGCAGTGTCCAGCATTGTGCAGTCAGAAATATAAGCAGCAACGCACTGATGTAATCGAGGATCATCTCCTACAAAAAGCGTTCGTCGGGAATTTAGCGAAAAACTGAAAGTGGTTTAACCAGTCCAGCAATTGACCGCATAATACATTCTTGAAATATTGTGTAAAAGATCAAAAATAGGTGAGTCCCACCTCCTATGGTTCTTGAACGTCAGATGAACGTCTGTTATTAATGACAATACCATCATGAAGCTGCTCTCTTAGCCGAGTGAATAAAAAACTAGTGGGACATTTCTGAGGAAAAGGAAGAAAATGCTATTTTACCTGAGTGGTTTTCCACTCTGCAATAAAATTTTTAAATGAGGGATACATCTTTGCAACCGAACTAAACTATATTACTTCGCTTATCTGAAACATGGGCTATACTTATCTCCGAAACCTGGATTGTGATTTTTTGGGCGATTTTTAAAACTGATAGTTCTTTGCAAGAGTTGTTTTTAAGCCTTTGCATAAGTGACTACTGCTCTCGATATGAAACTTCCAACTGCGTCCTTATAGTTACAGGGTATTTAGTGGATCTTATTTAACCAAAATTGAGCATCAGACCAATTGGTGATGAAACCTATCCTACAACTCCAGCATTCCGTCTTTCAAGTTATTCAGGTTGGTTGGACAAGTATATTTAGAACTGTTAAAACTATGACCAACTCACCAATATTTTCCTTTGCTCTTAACCATAAGTAAGTTCGGGGCTCAATTCCCTTTCCATCCAAGTCCAATACATACCTCTCCGGGTCTACGGGTCGTAGCTAAATAAATATTTGAACACTCTTTAAGCCACGGGGAAATCATGAAGTGACGCACGATTGTTGAAAAAGATGGTCTTTTAAAATGTTAAGTTTAACTCGGTAGTTCACCTGAAAAATTCTGTCGAACGCTGGCGAAATTTCTTTGAACCTGTATTTTAATATTTCCCTTATTGCAGGCCTTACACTGCTGTCCGTAGAATACTTCTCCATAAGGTCCACGTAGTCAATGAGTTTTTCAGGTGGAGAAACATCAGGCATCTTGTGCTGGTGGGCAATAGCGTCAGGTTCATCCTGTCCGTAGTATTAATATTACAAGCCTGTTCCCCGTTGCTTCCTTCAAGTCTTATCTCATTTACATCTGAGGGGACAAAGACAAACGTGAGTAAGTCGAATCCAAGATGAGAAAACCTCTTACTTTATGGAAAGAAGCTTGACAAGTAAATATCGCTTTTCCAGATTGCACAGCTTTGACTATGCGTGTGCAAAAACTCCGTCGGTCGCTGACTCGATCTATCATATATAAGATTGGTTTATGAACGGAACCTGCATAATTGTTTATTCATGAGGTTATGTGAAGATTAGTTTTCTGAACGAGAAATGCAAGTTACTTGGACCAACCTGCTTGAATGAAATAGGAGTGGAACGAGTGAGGCTTGAATGAGTCATCTACCGTAGCTGCGGCTGCAGCTAAAGCTTGACCGATAACCTGACCCCCATAAACAGCTGGTATAGACTGACGCCCTTTCAAAAGATGTCGTGACCTGAAGAGAACCAGTTTTGCGCATTGGAATTGCCATGCCAATGGGTAAGAGTTAATTCTCTCAAAGTTTCAACCAAGAAATAAAAAAAAAAACCAAAAATGATTACTAAAAGGAACAATCTATATTTTCCGAACCTGAAATTCGCTCAAAAACTGGAGGAACTCTATTTAAGGAATGTAAACCTATGAAGTTTAACCTACAAATAAATATCATTATCGATCATTTCGAGGTTCAGAAATGTATCAATTAATCCAGCTCTGATATCATCGGCACGTGAGGATATCTGAACATGCGTAACATTCGTCAAAGCTATTGGTCTCGTTACCTGGTAGTTTGCCACCGCAGAGCCGTCATGCTGCAGTTCACAAAACAATTATTTATGCTGCCTTAACAAATATTACCAGGAATTGCAAAGGCAACTAACGTACATGATGTTATTGATTACTCAAAAAATTTAACTACAAAAGAACCTTTTGGGCAACCCCGTTCATCTTCTTCACTTCAGGTGAATCAAAGAACTGTAGGCCATTAGAATCTCCATTGTCATTTGTGACGTAGATTGATTCAACCTTACCAAAACGGTTGGACGTCATTGACCAATAGTGCACTCAAGTTTCGGAACAGCCCCCAGCCTTAAAAAAACCGGTGCTTGAGCAAGTTCCTGGAAAACAATGTAGATTAGATACGAATAGTAAGGGTGAGCCACACAGCTGAATGGCATTTACCTCCAACAAACGTAATGGACATTCTGAAAAGTCAGAAGCGAACCTGACATGCAGTCCAATATCAATAAAAGCGTAGCACCCACCTACCAGATAACCTCATTTACAATTTGAGGGAGGTAAGAATAACGCTAAAGACCGACAAAGCAATGACAAGATTTAATCCAAATTAATTTACGGATAAAGCTAAGAGGAGAAATCAACCAACAGAAATAGATGAAAATTGAACACCGATACCGAGCAAGCAAAAAAGATAAGAACGCAATGGAATAAGGTCATTTCTGCACCAGGTTAAAAGAGTGATTGTTACTCGAAAGTAAAAGGAACGTACCTAAACATTTGGTGGAAAGAATGCATGGCTAAAATGATGTAGAATTTGTGCACGAAAAAACGGATTGGCATGAATAGCAAACATGAAAGCAAACATTCAGGATTTCGACGAAGTTATTCAAACAGTTTTGTTAAATCAATTCAGTTAATTTAATTGTTGCGGCACCATCGCAATCGAGCAGTCGGCACTCAAACAGTCCATTAAGTAGAAAGGTGCTGTGAACACCTGAACTGTAGCGTAGATTCATTGACCTCTTCTCCCTCTTTACTGCTGCCTGGTTAGCATCCTCCAGCCGTAGCAGTCGTCGTTGTTCCCTCCAAAGCGACGTCGATTTCGAAGCAACTTCTTCTATCAGCTGTTTTTGCTCAATTACCACAAACTTTTTAAGGGCCACTTGCAATAATTACTGTGAAAGGTGGGCGAAAACGAAACAAATATGATAGAAATCTCTAAAAAGAAAAAAGCTGCTTCAGAAACTACAGGATCAATAAGTCGCCAATTTAGGTGTGTG